ATAAACACTTTATCGGAGCAATTTGGCAATATTTTGATGCTCTTACGATGTTTTGCCCACATCAGGCAGAATAGCCTCGGCGTGTGTGTACGCAGTGGAGGCGCCAGCCGGGAAATTACTTACCCGATGCGGCAAACGCAATTAGTAAACTCCATGAACTAACGCGAGCGTGAATGTAATCAGACTTATTTTGTAGCGGTAAGTTAGTTGGATTAATTACTTCCAAAGTTGCTGTGCGCGCAGGCTAGAAGACACCCGTATTTCCTTTTTCAGTCCATGAGATACCTCATTCGTGGATATTGCTGTCTGAATATATAGCCTCATGATTCAGAGTGGTAATAAGAAATATAATCGCTGGAAATATGAGCATGAAGGCGCTTAAAAAACTGCACGGTTTATAGACATACATAGTCTGCAATCCAATAAAATCGCGCTCCGCACACTGCACCTTTCTGGTAATATGGTGATTATGCATATTAACCAACTCGGTCTCTCTATTTTTGCGAGTTCCACCTGCACTGGAAAAAAAACACATTGGATCTAGAGTCCAGACTCTTAAAAACATCGACAAGAAAAATACTCTCGATTCAATCAGATTTAAGCTTAAATCAAGAGCCCAGCCTCTTAATTTGAGCGGATTTCCTTTTGATTTAAGCTTAAATCTGATTGAATCAAGAGTATTTTTTCTTGTCAATGTTTTCAAGAGTCTGGACTCTAGATCCAATGCATTTTTTTCTAGTGTGGGTATATTTATCACTTAGAGCAAGAGAACTTTTCGAAGAAGCTCCATTGTGAAATTTTTGCAGAGATTTTCCCCACAAAATTGGCTACTTTTAACTCATTCTCTGACACAGTAAATCTTCTCCTTTTGGCGTTTGCCGGGTTTTTCATAGAAAAAAGAAGAAGAAAAGAAATAAATAAAGAAAAAATGGCCATAGTCTCGTTTTTAGCGGAAATTTAAACTAACGCATATTTATTATTGTGAAACGTTAATTTGTTATTGTGCAGATTGTGAAGCGAAGCGCTCATTGTGATTTTTAAGCCATTTCCTATAAGAAATGAATCTTCGTTTTACTTCAGCTGAAGTTTGCAACAGGTCAATTATCGGATGTTTCCACGCAACTCCGAGCGTCATCTCCGGCGAACTTGAACCTGGCCCTGAGGATCGGGCGGTTACCCCGATAATTGACGCGTGTCCCGTCGCGCTCTTGCAGATCCTGATCGTGACCCGGGGGGTTGTCATTGCGCAAGAATGAGTTCAGCGTTTCAGCCTCCTCGCTGCGCTGCGCTGCCACTCGTCTCGACGGCCGACGGCCTGTTTTGTCGGTCGCCCGCGCTTGTTTCTGGGTCACTGGTCCGGTCGCTCCGGCTGATCCGCCCGTTGTAATGTCACCTGTTGCGTGCAGCCTCCTCTACTGCCCCGCTGGCCAACTGCGTAACTTCAGTTTGAATCACAAGTGGTTCGAATACTGTCTTTTGCTTTGGATGCAAGTGCAATTTTCTTGGAGAAAAAACTGTGGTTATAACACAGTTGCCTCAACTAGAGAATGCCGGGAAATGCCCAGGAATTTGGAAAGTCTGAGAAAACCTGCAGGGGGCTCTTAGCCTTACCATTTTCAAATCACCTTTCCATCTTAAAAACCCCTTTTTTCTCAGGATTCTCCTTCGTAAATATGACTTTTTTATACACGGAGAAAACAACTTCGTGAGTGGGACCCAAAGTTTAGGTCATACGGATCTCTGAAGTTTTTGGATTGAGCATCCGAACACTTAAGGTCCAGCTGCTGAGGTTTGGATCACACATCTGAAACTTCAGTTCTTACATCTGAAGTACTTCGGTTTGCACATCCGAAAAACTTTGGTTCTCACATCTGAAGTACTTCAGATGTAAGAACTGAAGTTTCAGATGTGTGATCCGAACCTCGACAGCTAGACCTTAAATGTTCAGATGCGCTCAATCTGAAAACTTCAGAGATCCATATGATCTAAACTTCGGGTCCCACGCACGAGGTTTTTTTTCTCCGTGTACATACAAATAGGTCGCTTTATAGCACTCCCTCGCGCTCTACGACACCTAGCCTCCACTGCTCTCTATCGAACCACTACAACCCTTGGGGCATTGAGCACCTTAACATTTCTGTTTCAATCCCCTCCCTCCAACTTTCTTATCGGGCGCTCAATATGACTTTTTTATAGCGCTGAATGTTTGATACTCCGATTTGGCAAAAAAAACTTGTGATTAATACGGGGATTTTACCGAAAACACGTGAATTTGACCGCTGGTTGCAAAGAAAACGCGTTTTTTCAATCTTCTCATTTAAAAACATCGTTTTTGGGGCCTTCCCATTTCACACGCGACAGATCGTAACGCGCGCGGTCGCGTTGTCGAGAGGTTTTTAGACCCCTGAAAACCTACAAATATCAAAGATTATGACAATAGGGTCGAGAAAAATTCATTGAATCCCCTGTATTTGCTCTCTAAACGGATTTGGCGCTTTGAACAACTAAGTGAAAATTATTTCAAATTGAGTACGCTCGAAATCGGTCTGTAGAATATGTGTCAGTTGCGGTCGGAACTAGGTATAGTGCTTGGCCTGTTGCTTAGGGCAACCTAGAGGAGCTCGTAAGTCAAATTTGCAACCGTCAATTGGCTGCTAATCACAAGTTAAGTAGAGGTCTCTAGTTCTCCGCTCCCTCACTGTGGTACCTATGAGGGGCTTAGAGGACAAGGCGCACAAGTGCAGTCATTGCTGTTTCGAAAAATACGTGTTTGAAGTTTCGATATTTCATGGCTCCGTATGGCGGAAAAAAAGTTCAAACTGACTTTTTGATGTTTGAAAAATTGGAATTTGGGAGCAGATTTTTCGCAGAATATGCATTAAGGCTAGCTTTATACTTGAAATCATAAATATTTCAATTTTTTCAAAGACTACACTTATGCGCCCTGTCCTCCAAGCTCCTCATATGAGGTGGTGATCTTGATTTTTGGCTACCATGTATATACCGGGACTAGACCTCTCTTAAAAGGTCAAATTGCTTTATGTGTGCTGCAACAAGAATTTCGAATTTTCTCATAGATTCTCCTCCATTTTTAAGTCCAAACTCCCAACTTTTACGTATAAATCCATCATATGACTTTTGAATCCAAATATCATTATTACTGTGCAATTGTCAATTTTGTCAATGTTTTCAAGAGCCTGGACTCTAGATCCAAGCGACTCTTTTTAACCAGGATCATGGTCGAAGTTAGGCACAATTGAAGCCTCTGTGCGATCTCGTGGCGTTTTTGCAGGTCTTAGTTTGTGCGTAGCCGGAGCGAGCGGCTCGACCTGTTGGTCGGCCCCGTCTTCGTGTCTGCTCCCTATGTTTAGCGTGCCCTTTCGTCCCCCTCGGAGGCTATTCCCGCTAGCGCTAGCCCACACAACTCTCCTACCACCTGCTCCACTCGATCAGAGGCCGGCCTTTTGCATGCCCTCATCACCGTGCTTTGATGAACCCTCATTCACCGACGCACAGTGAGCAAATTATGTCGGAAAGATTGCACATGCCGTTTAAACCTTCTAAGCTACTTTTCCTTTCTCGCTACCCTAGGGTAGAGGAAGTATTGTCATCCTCCAAGTGGAAAAATAAGTTGAAATTTCATCATTTCTAGACGTTTTAAGGTCCCAGGAGTCAAAATAACTATACTTGAAAAAATTTGTGTCCGTCCGTCCGGCGTCCCCCAAATCTGTGTACAGCGATATCTCAGAATCTATCAGTTCGATTTCATTCACATTTTTTTTTTCGTATTAGAACACAATTTAGAAGTTTTACAGTGATCCCATCGGTTTTCTCATGATAATAACTCAAGACGTACCCCTTAAAATGTTGATTTTTACAAAATTAACTTCAAAATTTGCGGTTCTACAGAATAATTTGAAGTCCGTCGTTTTCTTATGGATCCATCCATTGTGCGACGCCGCGCAGAGCGAATCAAGATGTTAACTATCGGCCTGAATCTGCAGTATGTTTGTAGATTGGAAATTCTAGAAAATGGAGCGCCTGCAATTTCATAGAATTTTCAATGTAATCAACCGACCATGCATCACATTTTTCGAGAAACCAGGCCCGTCTTAAGAGACGCATACAACAATTGCGCCCTCGCCCAGAGCGCCAATATATCTAGCGTTTCTTTTATCATTATTATTATTGGTTTTTTTAAATTTATTTAACAGCCGTGAATGGCTAGTTTTATTCCTATGATAAAATTGCGTACGGTCGAACACGTTGGTGTGGTTGGCGCCCAGTGTAACACCGCGGGATGAAACGAAAGAAATCTTTTCTAATTCAAAGAGAATCAGATTAGCCATCGATTACGGAATTACTTTTGTTTGGTAAAAGAAAAACCTTCATTTTTCTGATTTAAGAAAGACGAAACGAAAGACGGGCATTTTTCGAGCAAAATCAATTCTTCTTCAAGTAAAAAATATTCAATTGAGACGAAACAAATTCCTTCGAATCAATTAAAAATGTTTTTTTTTTCCTAGGTGCGGAAAAAATAATGGCAACGCCTTTGATGCAACTATTCGAGCTCATGAGATGTGCTTGATGCATGCACACGTAAATGAAGGCGCTCCAGCGATTCTAACTCAAGCGGTAGTGGTGCGCAGCGGGACTTCATTTATCGCAGGATGCGTTGTTTTATGATACTTAAAAATAGCGTTCTGTCGCTGCAATTCTATCGAAATTGATTGGTTCATTATGTAAACATAGCCTTACAAATCATCGAGTGGTATCGGTGCTTAGTGGTATTTTGTACGTATTATTTTTTATTCTTATGAGTACTACGTGACAATGAAATGTAATATCGTTTGGAATTTCCTATTTTTCAGCCCTTTCAACTTACATCCTAAAATTTTGGTTCGACGTCATGTTTTCGGGTGTCTTTGAAACATACAATCCTTTATTTTTAGTGAGTGAATTAAAAAAAAGTCTAAATTTGATGTCGTTATCTGTTGCAGGGATCTAAGGCCGACAAGTCTGGACATCGGGCAGGAGACGTGTCGACTTCGCTTTTACGAGCTTTACGCCTGGGGAGGACCCTTGCTCATTGCCGGTGTAGCGGCAGTCATGGACCGAATCCCTGAAGTCACTCACACCACTCTCATCAAGCCTAGGTTTGGCGAGGCTCGCTGTTGGTTCTACGGTAAGTTCTCTCTTTTCGAAATAAACCACTGGACAAGATACAAATTTAAGCATTTTGATAAATGGACTGCATTTTGCAATTTGGAGCTATAAATTCTGGCTCATCCGAAAAAACACTTATGTGCGTGGGGAAGCTAATGGCACATACGTTGTTTTTAAACCGGGCCGGAATTTATAGTTCCTAATTGCAAAATGCAGTCCAAATGTCCTCAATCAGAATTTCACATAAAACACGATTCTTGAATCAAAAATTACTGAAATAAACTCTCAACTACAGGGCCGGATTTACCTACTTGCCGCCCATGGGCCACCTGTATTTTGCCGCCCCCTTCTCATTCGTTTTGAAACATCAATAAAAACCATCAAGTGAACATGCCGGAGGGGAAGAGGAGGGGTGTGTAAGACGCGTTAAAGCGTGATGGACTCATTTTTTGCGAAAGGTCTGTCAACACTACTAGCAAAAGATCACGAAACTTTGCGCGAAAGTTAAGTCTCCTAAACCTCTCACAGTGTAGACAACGCCTTCCATTCATAAGAAATGAACGAAAAAATTATGAAAGAACAAACATAGATGTGGTTTAATGATCTTAACTTCCGACGCGCCGCCGCACCATGCTGACCTCACTATGTTTTGCGCAGTGCGTGAAGTATTCCCACAGCGCACAGTCGTGTAAGCGCCATGCGTCTCACGCCGACCACTGCGGACTGCGCTGTGTTTGACGCAATGCGTGAAGTATTCATGCAGTCTTGTAGGCGCTATGCGTTTCACACCGACCGCTGTTGACCGTACTGTGTTTGACGCAATGCGTGAAGCATTCATGCAGTTTTGTAGGCGCTAATATGTGTTACGTGTCGACCGCCGCGTCGAGGGCTTCTCCTTTTCATGTGAAGTCTTCGTTATCATTGCTCTCTGCGCCGCGCCGTTCCAGGCCAAATTGCTTGTTTGGTTTCTCTCTTAACTCGACTAATTAAAGGTGCTGTTTCTTGTATCACCGAAAGACGACAAAATTAGAAATTACCATACCTTTACTCTCAGGAACAGAGAGATTTTATGGCCTTTTCCAGTTCGTGATTTTTTTTCTGAATCCGATTTTTTTTTTTTTTTTGTACCTAAATCTGAAAAAAATTCAAAATTTGCCGCCATGGACCGCGGCCCATGTGGCCACGCGCCAAATCTGGCCCTGCTTAACTAAGATATTAACGTTTTAATTTTACATGGTGACGTAAAATTTGAATGGGTCAGTCGCGCTGGTCACAAAATCGTATTTTGATGCTTGATTCTTGTAGATAAACTAAAATTAATAAGTTTTGACTCCACCGCAACTTTCTACGTTCAATAATAACCGAGCTTCCGCCCTTTGAAAAGTCGAGTTTTTGACGTCATCTACCGCGGTAGTGACTCTTGGTTTCGTCCGAGTTTCACGTTGAACAACCAGTAAAAATGTGCGTATCGCTGACTGATGAAAGCGCAAGGTGGAAGAAAGGAAGGATGTCACTACCGCGGTGGATGACTTCAAAAACCCAACTTTTAAAGGGCAATATCTCGGTTATTATTGAACTTCAAAAGATACGGTTTGGACAGCTCTTATTATTCTTAGCTAATCTACAAGAATTAAGCATCAAAACACGATTTTGTGACCAGCGCAACTGACCCATTGTCCGGTCACAAGGAACACAATACTCTACGTGAGTTAAATCGCGCACTACAGCGGTTTTGGCAGGCTTCTCAATCAAACATTGTTCTTTCCCCTCCCCCCCCCTTTATTTATCAAAGTGTAAACAATTTGCCATAGCTGAGCCAAAGCGTTAAGATTGAGATTGCCATATTTTCGTTTCGCAGAGACTGCAACGGTAACGTTTAGTTTGTGATCTGACGCACGTAGACCATTGTGTTTTCATGAGCGGGAGGCTTGAATTTACCGTCAAGAAACATGAAATATCTTGATTAGGTATCGATTTCAGTGATTTTCGTTGCACAAATCGTATTTTACGTTAAAGTTTGGTTAAGAAACATGTATCAGAATGCTGTACTTTGTACCTTGTCTAGTGGTCCATTTGCACCTTGGGTCAGCTAGAGTCCCTTTATACTGAGAGTCAAGACAATTTGAATCCATTTCTGATTGGTTACCGTATTTTAGGCCTCCACAGTGTCACAAAAGGGAATAAAGATTACATTTTTACCAATTGCAAAGATTACAGTCTGGAATGGACCAGGGAATTACGGGTTCGGCAAGGAACAAACGGAATGAGAGGAGGAACGGAGAAAGGCATTTGAGAATGGGCCGATCAAAGATTACGAAAAACGTTCAATTTCTGTAATCTTTTTTCCCGTTTGTGACATCCATGAGCCGAATTGTCTTGACTCTCAGTATAAAGGGACTCTAGGGTCAGCCATGCAACATTTTGTCATGCCCGAAAATCAAGACATAAATCGCGCTTGCTGTAACTTGGTTCCTCTCCGTGGAATTCGGTCCATATGATGTCTAGATAAATAATTCTCGAGACCAGAAACCCGATGACAGCCTCCTAGATGAGGGGTTTTTATTTGCTTATTTATGTTTATTACGGATTCTATCGTGTAGTTCTGAGTGGTGTGAATCGTTTCGAAATTTTTGGACGAACATCATAGGCACTGCAATCCTAGTCCGGTTTTTAGACAGCGCTGCTTTTCCGGGAAAGAACCGTCGAAAAAAGCGAAACCGGAGAAGGTCGCTGAGTAAAATACTGCCCGTTGAATGGCAGCTAACTAGAATATTCATTAATTCCCGCGCGTATCGTCGAGTAATATCTGGGGTTGGGTCGAACGTTTCAGCGTTACGTCGCACAGTGGATCGAGTTGATAGGAGAGGTCGGACAAAATTTGGAAACTTTGAAAGCTTTTAACTCCGTTTATACAAAACTTTGAAATTTTAAAAGTGGTTCCATCGGTTTCCTCGTAAAATTTTCTTTCAGAAACACCCCTTAAAGTTTATAATGTGACGAATTAAACATCAAAATTTGCAGTTTTAGCCAAAAATTTCATGTCCGACCTCCTCTAACAGCTCGTTCCATTGTGCGACGGGTGTTAACGAGACCATCCTTGCTTTTTCACGAAAATTTCTGATATTTATGTTCGATCTGACAACGTATTGTTGGGTGATCACACGATTCTCTCTTGCGACTCTTCTGATTTGTGTTGATTGGTGGCCATCAGTCCACCACCGAGGCAGTGAGCCTTCAGCTTTCAAGCGGCCGGCCATCTGTTTCTGTCGCCATCTCGGCGATTTCATTGAAACGAGGTTCCCTTTTTTGAGAACTCCCGTTTCGGAAACTTGATTAAGCTTTCGCCACACCCTACGTTGCCTCATTTACTCTGTTCTTGAATATGGTGTCTGCAGATGTAGTGACGTCACATTATTTTGTAAAAACAAATTAACATCTATAGGGAACGGAACATACCATAACAGGCATTAAAAAAGTGATTTGCCATTCACCAGTATTAATTATTCAAGCAAAGAAAAGCAGTTCATTCTCAGATTTGTGGCAACTGTGACTATTAATTAGACGTATTTCTGTCAAACGGAACCATGTGCATTATGCCTTGAGCCCTGTTATGCATATATCCTTCCGAGTCTCAGGGCTCATGTCTTAGTGCACATAGTTCCGTTTGGCAGAAATACGTCCACCTGTAGATACATCGGAATAAATGATCAAATAATGTGTGCGTTTGCTAGTTTGTAAAATCAATAAACACTCATTCCTTATTTGAATCGAACACGGGAAAAAGGGGTAGGGGTTGTTGACTGATTTGGGTATTTCCAACTAAGTGTGGTAGTACCACAATAAATTAGGTTACTAATCCAAATGTTGCTGTACTACCCCAACTTGAGTTGCGATACTGCCAAAATTAATTGAAAATGCCCATATCATCCAACAAATTGGAGTAGTACCACGATATCAGGGGATAACCCCGAACACTTTTTTTCCTCACACTCTAATTTCAACGTTTGGTTGACCTAACTGAAAAAAGTAATTCAGAGTAACCTCAAAGTAACCATCGACACGGAACTTTCTAAGAGTGTACAGGACTGAGGAAAATTTTAACACTTCACCGTCATTTTCGGTGGATTTGTTGCTTTGATTAGAACTGACGGTTCAAGTTTTGATTTTCTCCTTTTTTCTGTGCAGGCGACGCTGAGATTTTGGCTTACTTTTACGCTCCGATTGGGATACTGCTCGTTTTGAACCTAACGTTGTTCCTGCTGACTGCTAGGGAGTTGACATGCGGTTTGTGGCGGACGGAGGTCGTGAAGTCGACGACAGAAAGGTGAGTTGTGGTTGTGAGTTAGAAATTTACGCAGTAGGTACCGCACTTGGAATGCGATGAATGCACTTGTGCATGATTGATGGACTGAAGTCGGCAAAAACTTTTTGCACAGTTATCGGTTTATGGAGAGGATCAGTAAGAACCTAGACTAGAAATAGTATGAGTGCAATAAAATGCTTTAGTTGCGAATTCATGCAATGATCAATCAAAAAGTACAATCCCTCCGTTGCCATGGGCTTCTCATGCCCAAGTAGGTCATTGCAATGAAAATGTTGAAATAAAATTTTGATTTAATGAAATAGAATCGCAATTTTTTTCCATTAAACTGCAATATTTTTACATCATTCAGTCGATTAAGGCAGATATTAAACGATCGATAAGATGCACTTCATGTATCAGAGAGACAAGCAATTTGCAATGCGAAGAGGAATCACAACTTATTTCAATTTGATTGCAGTGAATTCCAAAAAAAGGCGCCCCTTCAATTTTTAGATATGCAACATACACAACACTCCGATGCAGGAGCAGTAACATTACTGTGTAATGCAATAATTCATTGACTTGTTCATCAATTTTTTGTTATTTTACATATTTTATCCTGCTCCTTCATCTCTTTTTTACTTAAATCCCTTTTTTTTCCTCATACTTTTCTGATACTTCTTCTTTTAGGTAGTCTTCTCTTTCTATTCTTCATCTTCCTTCTCTGCCTCCTCCTCTTCCTCTTCCTCTTTCTTTTCTACTTCCTCCTCTTCCTCCTCCTCCTCTTCCTCCCCCTCTTCCTCCCCCTCTTCCTCTTCCTCCTCCTCCTTCTCCTCCTCCTCCTTCTTTTTTTAGGTAGTCGTCTCCTTCTATTCTTCATCTTCCTTCTCTGCCTCCTCCTCTTCCTCCCCCTCTTCCTCTTCCTCTTCCTCCTCCTCTTCCTCCTCTTCCTCCTCTTCCTCCTCCTCCTCCTGCTCCTCCTCCTCCTCCGCCTCCTGCTCCTCCTCCTGCTCCTCCTGCTCCTGTTCCTGCTCCTGCTCCTGCTCTTGCTCTTGCTCTTGCTCTTGCTCTTGCTCTTCCTCCTCCTCTTCCTCTTCCTCCTCCTGCTCCTCTTTCTGCTACTCCTCCTGCTGCTGATCCTACTGCTCTTGCTCCTCCTTTTCCTCCTCCCAATCTTCTGCTTCCTTTCCTTCTATCCTGATTTCTTCTTAATCATCTCCTTCTCCCTATTTCTAGAGCGTCCTCATCTGACTGATGACTTCGCTCTGAATCCATCAAACGAGGGTTAACGCGTGCAAAAATTCACTTTCCGTCTCTTGTGTTTCAGGGCGACGCTGAGCCGAGTGTGCCTGAAGCTGGTGATTGTCATGGGCGTGACGTGGATCGTGGACATAATCTCGTGGGTGGTCGGGGGGCCGCAGTACATCTGGTACGCGACGGACATCATGAACGCCCTCCAAGGCGTCTTCATCTTCATCGTCGTCGGGTGCCAGCCCCAGGTCTGGGCGGCCGTCAAGCGGCTCTGGTGCTTCAAGAAGCTCCCGTGGTGCTTCCGCGAGCTCCCCTCCGAGACCGGCAACGTCCGATCCTCGTCCTCGCACGCCACCCCCTCGATCGTCAACGACCACTCCACCACCAAACCCGTCTCCGAGACCCTTTGTTAGTTCCTTCGCTCCTCCGCGGGGTCGCCCCCCGGATCGCGCCCTTTCATATTTTGACTTGCGCCATGGACGAGTTCTTTCGGATACTCAATGACAGAGCCACTCCTCAGCCGGTGTTCATGCCGATCTATTTCCACACTTGGGGTCATTTCTGGTCCAATTAATTTGAAAATGAATTTAAAAAAATTCTCGTATGGTTAAAAGAGCGTAAACTATTCCGTGATGTTTGTAAAAGTTTCGCATTTACAGACGACTGAAACCGATGGTTTTGTATTCGTCGTAATTAGTCTTCGCGATGATAGCGAAGTTTTTTTCAGCTCCCATTTCACTCAAATTAATGATTTTTATCACAAGAGCTCATTGTCTCATCCTTCTTTTAAGAAAATTATCACAAGTATCATGGCTTACCTTGTGTGGAATAAATGGCATCCATCCACTAGAGAGGAATCTTTTTTAGGAGATTGTAATCACTGAAGTCGACTTTACTTCAGCATGTCCAACGAAGTTTGTTTATTTTAGATTTGATGTTTCTTGACGTTCTTATAATGCACGTATCGACTCGGCAGGATAACTCGGATTACTTTAATTCATTTACTGTCTCTCACAGAGCTCACGTATCGTACCATTTTTACTTTCTCGCTCCCCTAGTTTTCTATCGAGGATTATAAAGAGCTTCCACCTTTTAGAGAGGAATCCCAGGGTTCTTTTAATATAAGAACGAAGTAGTGGACAGTGAAGTCACCATACCCCCACGGTATACATGAGGTGGGCAATCGTACGTACATTTTCTTAACGAGTTATCTTGCCGTTCTCAAATCGATCTTATTGACAACTGACTTATTCCAACACGGATTTTTGTATTTCCTTCAATCCTCGACTTATTTATTTCCTTCCGGATTGAAGAAAATTAAAAACCGCTAGACTTGCCTGTTGGAGCAAGTTAGAACAGAAATGAAGTGTTTTGACCTTTAGCAGAGCCTTGACTGTTGTGCATAGTTACATGTGATTTTACCGCTTGATGTTAACCTGTTAAAGCTGCGCTTGTGTGACGCTTTCACCATTGCCCCCCTTTTTGCCCATATTTCCTTTTAAAAAAATGAGTGAAGGCCAGTTTTTTTCCTAACGATGTTTCAAGAAGCGCTTCTTATTATGAAATGACTTTCTTTTTAATAAAATTATACTCGTATGCGTCTTCATCTTGATCTGGCCTCTAGTTTAGGTTAACTAAAGGTACTAGTAAACTAAGTTTAAGTCCGTTTTCGGAGTGTTAAGATACTATCTCCTGTATTTCATGGCCGAAGGGGGACACTGTTGCTCGCGTCACAACAGAACTGCTATTGTATTTTTATTTATTAACGTATTTATGTTTGTTTTTATTAATTTATGAGCCCCTGTACATACTGTAATTTTTACAGTTTAAGTATTACTTAAATTAGGCCTGAATTGACTGATTATTTTTAATTGTACATATTTTTGTTTTATGTGATGTAAAATTTAATTGTGTTAATCTCCTTAATTGTTCCTCGAATTTCCGAGTCGAATATTCCAGCTTTTACCGTACTCGCTTACTTACACTCTACCTTCCCCCGCCTTTACCGTGCGTTCTTCCATATTTGAAAGTGCTGAGTCGATCGCGAAAAATATTGAAAAATTAAGGCACTGTGGTATAATATCTGTTGCAAACCCAAAATATCCCTTATCTCGGCGGTTTTCAACTCCGCAAAGTTCCCGTACGTTTTTATTTTAATGCATGATGCACCTGAAGCCATTTTTAACTGCGGAACACATAGTATCTCTTTTCCTGTCTGAAAAATCGTGCATAATTATCCCTTGCTTTTCTTCCAAAAGAAAGAAGTCGCAGCAGTAATTTTGACCTCACTATCGACTATCGAAATCACCGTTTTTAGTTTCATTATGTCAATGATGCTCCAATTAGAAACTGTGATCTTATCGTGCTTTTTGCGTTAGTGTCATCAGGATCCGAAATACACATGTTTTCCTTAGATTTTTGTTGTTTGATGATTCTGTCACAAACTCATCAGGTAGAGTAGGGCAATTTCGGAGATTTTCTTGCTGTAACTATGCTTAAAATACTGTACATATTGTGCATTTTTTCTAGTAATTTAACTTCGCGTATTTGTTTTCTCTTTAACTTCAGTTCCTGGTTTTCTGCATTTTAGTTACCCAAAGTAGCCTCAGGTTTAATCCGCTTCAATGGAAAATGGGTGGGGGTCGTTTTTACCCTTAACAGCTACTGACGTACCCTCGGCAACGTGAGTGAAACTTAAGTTGCTTCAAAAATGATTTTAACAATTATATGACTTAAAATCTGTCCTTTATTCCCAAAAAAATACCTTTTAGCATTGGGTTTACTCGGTGGCATTGTGAATTAATGTCCTCTCATCATACATTCTTGAAAATTGCTTCTTATAAATATGCGTAATTAACGTTTCTAAGTGTCAAGTAATAACCTGGTGATTAGATTAACCTAGGTAAGCTCAAGGAAGAATCAATCTTAGAGTCACCTTAAATGGCCGCAAGCACGCACGTTTTAAATTATTGTTGAACTTTAAGGAAATCGCATGTTTTTCTAATCTTGTTTTTTAATCATTTAGTTTTCTCGCGTTTTACTATTAAATGTCAACACGTTTAAAAATAATTTTAAAGGTCTCTCCTTTTAGGACCGAAAGGAACCGTGTTATTTTAATTTAATTGTATACATTACCTTGTGAATACTGCACATCATTTAATGGATACATGTAGGAGCCTATGTTAATTTGTATTTTTATTTATACGCAGTGCTCCATTAATTGTATATTCATTTTGATAGACTCTGTACAAATCAGCTGTAAAGAAACATATTTTTATGCAGATACAATTGATGCAAGTACAAACGAATTATCATGGATTCTTCATCTGTTGTCAGACTTAGTTACTGAAAAATATTTTCCATGTGTCCTTTTTTAGAGCTGTTCATAGAATTTTCAATGATTTTACATAATTTTTTTAAAATTGCCAATAACTAGAGCAGATTGTGCCTTTTAGTACTTTCTATTCACTACTACCGTTTTTAAATTTTAAACGATTTTGTAATGAATTATCTAACGTTCTAAAAATGAATATTATAAATATAAAAAATATAAGTGAAAGATTTCAAATATATTTTTACATTTCTCTCTGCATGAATTATACAGCCATATTTTCATATTCTTTTATTTTTGTAATCATGTCAGGTGCATTATATATGTCAACGTAAATGAAGAAAAAAATGTATAGCTATCAACGAACACATCACATCGAGTTAATCTTAATACAAAACCGTTTTTTCTCTCTCTTTCTTATTTATTTTAATCGATTGCTTTGCTCCCTTGAATATTAACTATCATATTTTGATTAATCGCTGATTGTGTCTGCGCTAAATTGGCCACGCATTTATTGTGTTTCTATGTTGTTACATTTTGATGAAATTATTTATTATCTCTTGCCAAATAATAAAAATAATAAAAACTAAGTGTATTTTAATGTAAACGTGTGTTTTTCTTTACTTTAATCAGTTACTCTACGATCACATACCTCGTTGCGCCGCGCCGCACGGTGGATCGAGTCAATGGGAGGGGTCGGTCATCGCGCATCACGCGTCTTATTTTCTCTGATTACGGAGATTTCCCACCCTTAGAATAGATCAAACTACACTCATTATATGTATTTTTCGTCGTAGATTCCATTTTTGATCATTTTTCAGCCAAATATTGAGTTTTATTACGAGTTTGACACACTTTTTCATAACTATTGAAAATGGGATCCTCGATTGCTGTTTTATCACGTTACTTTCGGCGAATGGGACCGTAAGCATCTTACGTAAAGAATAATTTTGCAGAACTTGACTCAAGGACATTACTTGAGGAGTAAGGGAGGACGGCTTTACAGCCCCCTCACCACGAAGGTTGCCATATTTCTTTCAATTTCTGCTAACATAGTTTTTTGTCCATGTTAATTGGTTTCTCGCAATTGCATACTGACACATATACGGAACATTCTGATAATGTTCATTTTTCTTCTCTTTTCCTCCAGCCAGTCAATAGACGTTTTCATTTTTATGAACTCTCTACTCTTTCAGTTATTCAACAAATATGCATATTTCAAAAAATAGATCAATATATTAAAGAAATAAAAAAGAGACGTATAGACTGTAGCTTCTTTTTATCGAGTCATCCTAGAAAATTATTATAGGTACTTATCACCAGATAAAAAAATTGAAAGTGCAGAGAAAAAAAAAAAATATATTATCTTCCATTATTTCATTTTGTTCCTCGATGTTTGGAGTGAAGTTTGAAACATATTTATCTAATAAATATTAAAATAGGAGGAAATTTACTTTTCATGCAAGTTCTGATCCCTTGAAGAGCCTCTGAGAAGGACTATTGTCTCTTGAAGAAATTTCTTGTATTTCTTCTTTTTCAACCCAAAACCAGTTTTTACTTTCTCGCTACCCTAGGGTAGAGAAAGTATTGCCATCCTCCAAGGGGGGGGGGGGAAGTTGAAATTGTATTTGTATGGAGCTCATGAAAGAGTTCTAGGTATGTTGAAGACATTTTGCAAGAAACGGGACTCGTGAAATATACAATGCGCAAAACGTACACCTTAAACTTTATCGCACAGTATAACGCTGATCGAATCAGCTTCAAAGACTAACAGAAGGTTAATGTCTCGTCCAAAAATATCAACAAATAAGCCAAAATCAGTAATCAGTAGAAAAATTATCGAGATTGAAGGATATGGTGTGATGCACGATTTTTTTGGTGACAATAGAGCAAGATCGGATTCCCAGCAGGCGCGACTTCCTATCATTCAAATGGACCGTTTTCGCAGATTAGCGCATATTAGCGGCTAATTATTACATAATATCATTCCTGATAGTGTACAGGAGGCAACCCAACAAAGGATTTTGCGGACACTTGTGGACATTTTTTTATCGAGCTATTTTAACATTTTTTTGGGCGTTTTTTTTAAAGCAAGCTTTGGAGGTGGTTTTGGCCCTCCTAAAAATATGCCAATGCACATTAATGATATACCAAAATGTTCCTTAAAGGGAGGAGAATAAGCATGTTTAATTGAAATTTTGATTTATCTGCCACAGAACTCATGCAAAAGCAAAATAAAACCTTGAGAATTAGACGGCAAATTTGATACCACCTGCAATGTCAGCTTTAGGCAACCCGCATGTCAAAGCGGAAGGGTTCAAAGATCCTAGAACCGTGGATACATTCATTTTGGAAGCTTAACTACTAGAAAACCAAGAAAAAATATTTAAAATCAGACTTTTTTTTTCGTCGCCCATGACCGACCTCTACCATTGACTCGATCCACCGTGCGCCGCGGCGCGCCGTGAACTGTGTTGATAGGCAACCAGTGAAAGGAACGGAGGATCTTAAGAGGAGGATCTTGGCATTACCATTTTCATGGATGTCTGTCTGAAATGATCATGGTCGAACTTGAAAATTCGTGCGATTTGTATAAAATAAAATATATCAATGAATAAATGAAAGGATTGAGCGGCCAGTCACATCCATATTTTCCCCCATATCTTCTCCCATTAGCTGAAATTCACCCGTATAGAATGTTTCACAAAAGTTTCATTGTGGTTTTATAAACAATTTAGCAGATATCCTTTCTGAAGTATTTGAATTGTGCAAGAACTATTTTGCGATGCTAAGGAAGAGCACCGGTTTGAGTATTGAAATTTTGCTAATTGTATATGTTTATGCTAAAAGGAACTATGTTGCACGCAAACCCTATGCACATAGCTCCTTTTAGCATAAATATACGTTCAAATATCCTTCGATAAAATATTATTCTTGTTGAAAGCTATAAATATTTTTTCCTAAGACTTTTAGCTAATTTCCGATTAATTTGCGAGTAAAATTCTCTGTAAAATAGGAGGAAAAATATTCACAAGTTTCTTTAGAAAGCTCTTTTTTTATTAAGAGAAATCTGGCAACGACAGCATTTTTCCCCAGCAAAGAAGCGTTGCTCTATTACATATTACTACTAAAAGTAATCACACTCTCTTACCTTAATACCCATCTCAATGTCTGTGTAGCCAGACTGTCTGGAGTAAAAATTAAAAAAGGAACTAACCTCTCATACTGATATGCTGAGTGTCACCTATGAAGTGGGAATGTGAATTAAATACAAATAAAAGCCACTGAACTTGCGTTACAAGAGAATTTTATGTCATTTGAAGGTCGACCAGTTGCACAACTGGAGCTCAAGACAAAGTCACTATTTGCCTACCGTATTTGAATGCCCGAGAAATTGAAATACCACTTTTCAAGATTTTTGGAAGTATTACCTTATTTTTAAAGGAAATTTCTCTCGAATTATCTGACCTCATGATCTCTTTTAAAAATAATAGCCAATAAGATGTTAAACAGAAGAAAGAAAAGAAAAGAACTCAATTCTTATCCTTTGTCCTATTAGTCGTTAGCTTACTTGGCGATAACGTTTCGACAGCTCACACCAAGGAAAGTTTTATACAGTGACCACCATTAATTCAAAATGAAAACACATAATTTTAAACATATGAGTTCCGTGATAGGAGTAATTTATTTTTCGAACTTTCATTATAAAATCTTTGTGAGAACTTTCATTGAGTAAAACTAATTATTAAAATAACAAGCAACATTGATTCATAAAAATTTGACTAAAAAACGAGCACAATAGTACAAATTACAATAACAGGGAACAAAGAAATAGGTATGTGGTTGAGATATCATAGGCGTAAATCAGTTCCTTTGACCGAAAACTGCCTTAAAAAAAGTGAAATAACGTTTAAATACGTATAAAATATGTTTCGAGGAGGAACACTAATAGTAAATGTTGTTCAGCCGCTTGTTTTTCAAAACCTCATACGTTTCTCGAATGCTGAAATATTTGTCCGGGTGATTTGCTTGAAAGCCGACGATACCAAAAGCCTCCAGACGCTTGCCCCACAGACGAGTTTTCGTCGCTTTTAGGAGTGCTTCGACGATTTTACTTTTCAGTTCCCCTGTAAAGAGAATATAGGTAGATTAGGATCGAGTAAAATTTTCATTTTCAACAGCTAATAAATGAGCGTTCAGTGTAGTCATTGTAATGTAGTCAGCATAAAGATCGAGCCTAGGTAGGTACCACATCTAATAATTAAACTAAACATACACGTATTTCCATTACGATGTTTCAACATTCACAGTTTCATTCAAATTCAAAACTTCCGCCATTTTGTGGCGGAAAATTCGCAACTTCGCGGGTCGATATACGACTTTTCTAGTTCCATTGTGGCAATGCGACACGCGCAATTTGCAATATTTTTTACCGTTAATTTATTGCGAGTCATTTTCTAAGTTTAAGCAATGCGCATTTGAATATCTACTTCGCAGCGCCTTCTGTTTTTTAAAGTATACTACAGAGTATATAGAGTTAGTAATTAATATTAGAGTAATTTAGAGTTAATTATTATAGAGTAGTTAATTTAACTATTCGCACAGTATTGTAAACCATTCTGAATATATTTTAAGAACATTACATGTAATGAAATGCAGCGTTACTATGCAGCAAATCAACGGTGAAGTGCAGAAATGCGAATTTCGGTTTGCGACACTGCAAACTTCCCGTTACAATTTACTTTCTTAGTGAAATTTGTTCAACGTAATTTCTTGAAAGTATCTCTACTTTTTGTTTAAAGCATGAAAAATATTTTGTAAAAATTTTAAGCGATAGTGTGTGTTCTCCTTTCATAAAATTAAACGGCATAAAAGTAAAGATTTTGAAACACAGCAAATGCCATATAGGGCCTCGGTATGAGGCCAGAAATATTCAGAGTACCAACAATCGGTGGATACAACTTAATCAACTCCAGTGTACACTGAGAAGAAACTATGGTTATAATTACCATATTAGTGGTGTTCAATATGCACTCTTAATTAGTAGTGGCCAGAACCAATAATAGTGATATTTTCACTAGAGCAATCGTAATTTTACAAGTAAGCGGTAGTAAAACTACCATTTAATGGTAAAAATATCTCTATTACTGGTTAGGGCAACTACTAATTAAGAGTTCATATTGAACACCACTAATATGGTAATTATAACCATAATTTTTTCTCAGTGTAGGTCAGGTTGCATCACTTAACTTGAAGGAGAACTGGTGGCGATTTTGTTCTCAAGCGACGCGACGCGCTCTAACCGCCGTTTACGGTGTGCGAAAAATCGTAATCCCCACTCCGCGATGAGGAGGTAGTTTAGGGATGAAAACTATGGTGCCTTGCTGAGCAAAAACGCCTTATGAACCTTCCACTGTTGCAAAATGTCCTATGATAAAATTTGGATTTCCCGGGAAATTATATAGAACAAAACGGATAGTATTGGCTAGGAGACCCAAACGAAAGGATAGAAAAAACACCTAAAAATGTACCCGTATATGAACGAGCACGAAACACACATTTTCTACGAAAATGACGGAAGTGGTATCGGAGATAGGGAGTCACGGATTTGATGTCACGGTATTAACAGAAACGAAGAAGAAAGGACAAGGCTCTGTAAGTGTAAAGGAATACGATTTGTTTTATAGTGGCGTGGAAAAAGATCAGCGAGCTCAACAGGGTGTTGCAATTCTTATTCGCAAGAGCCTACGGAAGTGCATCACTACATGGGAAGCTGTTAACCCCCGAATGATAAAGATGAATATGACAGTGTTTGGCCATAAAATCACCATTTTGGGAGTGTATGGAGTCAACGATGATTCCACTGTCGCAGTGAAGGACCAATTTTTCGAAGAATTGAACGAGGAAATTGGTAAGATTGGATCCAGGAGGGAAATCATTGTGTTGGGAGATCTCAATGGTAGAATAGGACGTCAAATTAAAAGTAAGATCGTCGGCCCTTTCGGAGAGGCGGCACTAAATGATAACGGAGCCCGTATCATTGACGTATGTGAGCAAAGGGACATGAAGGTGCTCAATGGGTTCTACCAACACAAGGATATCCATAAATTTACTTGGGTTCAGTCTACTCGCGGATTGAAATCAATCATTGATTATGTGGTTGTCAGACAAGAGACGGGAATGAAGATTCAGCAAGTTAGAGTGTGGAGAGGTCTTTCCTGCGGCAGTGATCATTATTTCCTCGGGGCGAAAATAGCTTTCCCAGTGAAAGGGAGCCAGGAGACCAGGCAAGCACAGGAAGAAGTTCACCAACAAAAAGATCGTGTCAAGCTTGTAAACTATAACATTGACAGCTTGCAGCATCCAAGTGTAAGGGCTTTATATGGAAAGCGCTTGGATGAGAAGTTGGGCGAATCAAGGGACGGTGATACCGAACAGCAGTATCAGTTCCTGAAGGATTGCATTCACTCGGCAGCAATGGAAGCTCTTGGTGTCGCTGATGATAGGAAAGTTAGCGAAAAACCTTACTGGTGGGACGAAGAAATTGAGAAGGAGATTCAGGAGAAACGGAAAAAATATCATCAGTTCCTTTCCTCTAAAAAAACAGAAGACAAAGAGGCGTATAAAAAAGCTCAGACGCAGGTACGAAGGCTCATAACCAAGAAAAAGAACGAATCTTGGGAGAGGAGCTGTAACAAAATAGACACGTACATAGGAGGAAGGAAAAGCACTGAGAGCTGGAAGTTGCTGAAAGGGCTGCGAAGGGACATGAAGCGGGACTTAATATCTCCGATATCCATTGATAAACTGGAGGGGTATTTTAAAAATTTACTGACAGAAAGGCGACCTGAATTTCAAGATGGAGGCGTAAGCTTGGAGTATACTAACGATAATCATAACTTGGAGATCCATATGGAGGACGTGGTAAAGGCCGTACGAGAGCTGAAGAACGATAAAGCTCCAGGTCCGGGAAATATCCCTGCTGAGTTGATCAAGTGTGGAACCTGCAAGCTGTTTCAACGGTTGAGATACCTGATGCAAGATTGCTTGGACGGTGGAAAGGTACCGACAGAATGGAAAGAGTCTTGGGTGTCACCTATATACAAGAAGAAGGGTAGAAAAGATGAGTGTGATAACTATAGAGGACTGTCGGTTGCAGGTACCCTGAGCAAAGTGTACGGAAAAATCTTGAAAGCCAAAATTGAAGAGGAGTGGAAAGAACATGAAGCGGAAGAGCAAGCAGGTTTCAGAGCCGGTCGGTCAACGATTGATCACTTATTTACCATCATCCACGTCATAGAGAAAAAGAAGGGAGTTGGCCAGGAATTACATCTAGTGTTTGTGGATCTCCAGAAAGCTTACGATAGTGTGCCATTGATGAAACTTTGGGAAGCCTTGAACAAAAGGGGTTTTAGTGGGGGACTAATTAGTGCTATTAAGGAATTTTATGGTGGGGCTTTCTCTAGGGTTAAATCGCATGGGGAGTTATCGTTGGGGTTTTTAATTACTAAAGGACTGAAACAAGGGTGTTGTTTGTCGCCAACCTTATTTAAAGTGTACCTGGAAGAAGTTTTAAAGGAATGGAAAAGATGCTGTTCGGGAATGGGCGTCCCGCTACGTGAAGATGGCACCCTTTATACTCTGTGCTTTGCTGATGATCAGGTGGTAATAGCTCAGGACGAAGAAGATGCGAATTACATGACGCGGAAGCTAGTGGAAGTATACCGAAAGTGGGGAATGGAAGTAAATGTGGTTAAGACGGAGAAGTTGGTTATCGGTGGTGATCAGCAAAGCATTGAACTGGAGGATGGCCGGAAGATCCTGGACTGTGAAGAGTATAAATATCTAGGAGTGTGGTTAACTAAGGACGGAAATTTGGATCGGGCCATTAAAGATCGGAATGTGCAAGGCAGGAAAGCTATCGCGATGCTAAATGGGGTTCTCTGGGACCAGAGTATCTCCAAGGAGACCAAAAGGACAATTTACAACGTCATCGTGAAGAGTATCGTAACTTACGGGAGTGAGGTCTGGCAACTTAAGAAAAGAACTGAAGACATGCTTAGGGCAACCGAGATGGACTTTTGGCGAAGGTCTGCTGGGATATCGAGAAGAGAGCGTATCCGCAATGAAAGGGTACGCGAGATAATGGGTGTGGAAAAGGACATCGTGCACGATATCAGGTCCAAGCAGTTGGTCTGGTATGGACATGTGCGAAGGATGGCAGACGACCGGTTGCCCAAGCAGGTCTTCGATTGGGTTCCTCCCGGAAGGCGACGGCGTGGACGTCCTGTGAAAGGTTGGCGACAAGGGGTGGAGGAGGAGATCAGAAGGTGCCAATTGCCTGATGATCTCTGGGAGGATAGGGGGCAATGGCGATTGGGCGTCGCAGAGCGCGAGGCGGCGCTATAATCGCGACTTTATGTATGTATATGAACGAGCAAGGAAGGTGCCAATGCAACATTTTATATTTAAAATCAGTTGTCAAACCACTTGCCTTGTGGCTTTTCTTCTAATATTCAGTGGAGTTTGTTTGCAATTCGATCTCAATCATCGAGAACTTTCAATGAATATACTGCTAACTTTCCTTAAAAACGTCATTTTTTGAGAGACATTTTGCGACCTACAATAGCTCTTGTGGCGTTTTCCCCTAGCGCAGCTCAGCGTGTCTTTCCATCTATCGTCAATTCCTTTAATGTAACTAATAGATCTTCAGGCTACGTGGAAACATTCAGAATTCAGCCAATTGGATGATACAACTTAATCAACTCCGGTGTGGGATCAGGTTGCGTCGCCTAACTTGAAGGCGAACTAGTGGCGATTTTGTTGGCGAACGACCAACGCCGCTAAGGTGAGTGTATTAACGTCACATTTAAAGTATGTTGATTTGTTAAGGAAAAACGCCGTATTTTTCCGCTGTTGCTAAATTTTCTTTACTAAAACTCAGATTTCCTGGAAATATTTTGAATTGTTTCTCTCAATTTTTCAGTAAAGTTTGTTCGCAATTTGATCTAAATTATCTGAAAGAACTTCCGAAGCTTTCCTTGAGAACTTGATCAAGAGAAATCTTGCAACATTCAAATATACGTGCGGCATTTCTCATGGCAATATCTGTGTGTATACTTATTTATAATTCCTCGGACGTTAGTAATAGTTCTTCGAGATACGTATAAACACTCAGAATGCAGCCAATCGCGGGATACAAATTAATTAACTCCGGTGTTGGGTTGGGTTGCGTCGCCTAATTTGAAGGCGAACTAGTAACTATTTTGTTTCGTAACGACGCGACGCGTAGCTCCAACCGATACGCTGCGCTGTGTGTATTACCGTCAGCCTGATTCCGTAATGAGAAGGATTTGTAATTTAGGGATGAAAACTATGATGCCTTGCTACGGAAAAACGCCGTATGTACGTTCGGCTGTTGTTACATTTCTTTTGATAAAACACAGGTTTCCTAGAAAAAATATGTTTATTTTTCTTCCGATCTGTTGGTGAAGTTTGTTCGGAATTTTGACTAAATCATCTGAAACTTTCAAAGAATAATATTCATAACTTTTTCTTAAAAACAGAACTTCATGAAGAGAAATTTTGAAATATTCGAAGGTTCATATGGCGTTTTTCCTTAACTTGTCAATGCGTGTCTGACAATTAATTTTTAACTCGTCAAATGAAAGCATTTACGCGTCTTAGCAGTTTCATCGTCACTATCATGTTACATTTTGAACAATTTTTCCCAGCCCTGAAAATTGTATTCCCTAACCTATTTTTTAGCAGCAGCCTTTATGGTATTTTAAAAAGTTCGTGTGATTCGTCTTTCAAAAAAAATTGTTCTTCCAATTTCTGAAGAGCATTAATACCTCTGCTTTTTGACGAAGAAAGTTCAAGTATTAAAAATTTTATTATTTTTTGAAGGCGGTTTAACAGTTACATCGTCGATTTACGACAAGTACACTGAAAAAAAATTCTCGGCGTTTTTACCAAGTTCCGTTGGCACCTTTACCATCTCACTTTTTTTACCAATTATTGGTAATTTTACCAAGACAGACTGGTAAGCTTACCTAAAAACCGGTATTTTTACTGTTTCTTCAGGTAGGAATACCACTTTTATTGGTAATCAATTCCCGGTAACTTTGCCATTTTATCTCGGTAATTCTACCACAGTCGATACAAAATATTGGCGTTTTTACTAAGGCTCAGTAAAATTACCGAGAAAGTTCAATAATTTTACCGAGATTTCTCGGTAAAATTACCAATTCCATAGATGGTAATTTTACCAAGAAAAAACTGGGATCAAATGGAACCCTGAATTCTTGGTAAGTTTACCCTTTTTTTAGTAAATACACCGAGATTTTTTTAATATTAAGATACCATATCTTACCGGGAACTTGTTTGCTGATCACAATCGGATACGGTGGGAGTGGACCTAGACTCGTAAGGACGCTGATGTCTTTTCCATAATCAGGCAGTTTCTTTTGATTGTAAGCCAGAACATTTGCATCCACGGCTGCAGCCTCTGCTTGTTTCTGTTGCACCATTTTGATGCACGCTAAGTGGGAACCAGCCTCTGAAATCGGAGAAAATACGTAAGTTAATTTTAAAATTCTACAATCCATGATACAAATCTCATCCCGTGGTTAATGTTATTCATTTTAGGATCACAGGCTCGACTATGAGGCTATTTAAATCAACAATCAGAAATTACAGAGACAGATTTGGCGCATCCAAAATCCTGAGTTAACATGATTTCCGTTGTGGAATTTTCGATCGATACATTAAATTATGGCCAAGGAATCAGTTAACAATAAAGTCTAGACAGATGTTTATCTCAAATTGGTAGGTGCGCTGAAAAGATCGTTTAAAACACTCCCTTTTTTCATCGAAGAAAAGAAGGTCATAACCCGTTACGTTTCAGCAGAAATTTTTGCGACTGTTTGTGTATTCAAGTTGACGTTCAATTAACGTCATGTAAAACTCCATGTTTCTTCAAGTTTTTCATATTTTTTTCGTTTTCCGCATGTTTTCGTCGATCTCACTTTCTCCTTCCCTATATCTCCCTCTAAAGTGATAGTTTTCTTCTTTTACTATTTTTACCATGGGCAGCTGCTTCACTCGAAATTTTTGAACTAGTTTTTGCACCTCAATGATACTCACTTAGGGTGTTACCAAAAAATTGAGAACCCTCTCCAATATCCTTAAGTGCCTTCAAGACAGAGATATAGCCGCTCAGTGAGTTTTCGTGGTTGTAAGCCCATTGGCATCCTCGGAGATCTTCCAAAGCATTAACGTAACTCCTGTAAGTATTCAAATATTTATTTGATTAGGTAAGTTAGAAAACTAACTAATGTTGGAACTGACACCTTATTTTATTTAATAACCAGAAAAGCACCGCATCCACCATGAGATTCAAACCGTTTTACGTAAAACGTCAGCATGAAATTATCAGGTAAATTATCCCCCTGGCGGCGTGTACGGCATGAGGTTACGTTTGCTAGTCGTAGATGATATCGAACTGTGTTCTTCTTATAAAATAAAAACTGTTATCAACCTATATATCTATCTATTTATCTAGTTATCAGGTAGATAACGTTCGTGAGTTTTCTTTATTTATTTTTGATTAAATTGTATCAATAAGAGAAATGAGAAGTTTTACATTTGGTAGGTTACTTCTAGTATACTTCTAGTATTTGTTTATTTACTCATTACATAAAAATATTTACTGTGCCTTACTCGATTGTTCCTTATCTATTCAGCAGGGCCTGATTAAGGGGGTGGCCACATGGGCCGCGGCCCATGGCGGCAAATCTAAGGGGCGGCAAAAATTTGCAATTTTTTAAGGTGTAGGTAAAAAAAAAAAATCTGATTTATAAAACCAAATTACAAACGAGAAAAGGCGACAAAATTTCTCATTTCCTGAGAGTATAGTAATTTCTAATTGTGTCGTCTCTTAGTGATACAAGAGACAGCACCTTCAATAAGTCGAGTTAAGAGAGATACCAAACACGCAATTTGGCCTGGAACGGCGCGACTTAGAGAGAAATGATAACGAGGACTTGAGATGAAAAGGAGAAGCCCTCGGCGCGGCGATCGGCGTGTAACACATATTAGCGCCTACAAGACTGCACGAATACTTCACGCATCGCATCAAACACAGTGCGGTCAGCGCGAAACGGATAGGGCCTACAAGAATGCATGAATACTTCACGCATTGCTCAAAACACAGTGCGGTCAGCGTGAAACGCCTAGCGCCTACAAGATTACGTGAATACTTCAAGCGTTGCGTCCAACACAGTGCGTTCAGCAGAGGTCGGCGTGAAACGCATAGTGCCTACAAGACTGTCGGAATACTTCACGCATTGCGCCAAACACGGTACGGTCTGCGCGGCGCGGCGGCGGAAGTTAAAATCATTGATCCACATTTATGTTTGTTCTTTCGTAATTTTTTTGCTCATTTCTTATGAATGGAAGGCCTTGTCCACACAGAGATAGGTTTACGGAACTTAACTTTCGCGCAAAGTTCTGTGAACTTTTGCTCTCAGTATTGATAGGGCTTTCCCAAAAAATGTGTTCAACGCGAGTAAATGCGTCTTAAGCACCCCTTGCCAGCTGACACGTTCATTTGATGGTTTTTATCGAGTTTCAAAACGAATGAGAAGGGGGCGGCAAAATACAGGCGGCCCATGGGCGGCAAGTAGGTGAACCCGATCATGCTATTCAGTGGAATCAAATAGGATATTTATTTATATAATCAGGAAAGCTGAATTATTCACATTAACCATCAAACTTCGACACTCGATTCGCCTACATTTCGTGATGTAGGCGAATTGGAAGCCGTCGAGGTTGAATAGTGGTGTCTCATAAGCATATCTCAGTGTTTGAAACTGATTATACTTTTCTTTGTGGCCCTCACAAACTACTGAGTCGTGTGTTAGTGCAAAATGTCAAATAATTTGAACTTTGTTTTGCCTACCTTGCAAAATGAAGGAAAAACTTGATGCCTGTTATGTCGTTACGCGTATATAGAAAGAAAGGAAATAGAAGCTAAAACAAATTCCGCATAGTTCTGTTAAATATCAATGGAAATATTCGCAAAAATTTTTTAATTGCGATTCGTTATCTGTCTTACCTAGTATCAGTGTGGACTATTATATCTGAATAGTAATCGGCCGATTCAGTCGTATTTTTGGAGTGCTTAAACACAGCGGCAACTGGGAGTAACTCGGCGTGTTGGTTGTTATTGTCGTGAAGCTTCAAATACTCCGCGGGCGACATGAAAGCTAGAACAAGCATTTATGTATTTAAACAAAGTAAAACGGCGCAGAAAGTTATTTCTAATCACTAATCAGAGAAGGGAGAATTCAACAAAACACAACACTCACAATTTTTTAGTTCATCATTACAATTGGACGTATTTCTGTCAAACGGAACTAAGAGCATCATGACGTGAGCTCTGTTATGCATATGTTCTTATGGGTCTCAGGGCTCATTTCTGAATGCACATAGTTCCGTTTGACAGAAATACGTCCAATTGAGGCTTCGCAAGGGGCTCGCACGGGGAAATATTCTCCCCTTTGCTGTGAAAGTATCTAAAAAATTGACTTAAAGCAACCATCCTTCTAACTTTATTTCAATAGGGCTAAACGTTGTGAATCAGCATACGAGTGAAGCTATGTTTAGAATGAAGTTTCTACGTGTGCGCTGCAAATTTCCTATTAAACCATTTCAATATTTGTAAAATCACGCGAAAAATTCAATAAGGGCCGTCCATCTCTGTAAAGAATATATTATATTCCTCTAAAAATCGGGTTTTGGGATTATTCTCCTTCTTTTGTTACGCACTCGTCACGCGCAAATGCGGCACATCCTAAATATTACGTCACGCGCACTGTTCTCAATCCCCCTTTTGCTCCTTTTTTGCATAAGGAGGTGCAGAAAAAAGCCATACTATGCCGCATAGGCTACGTGACAATCTTTCTGCCAAAACCACCAGTTCATAAAAAAACTGAAGAGCGACACAAAACAATAGATTAAAAAAATGAGGTATAAGAGGCGAGATTCTACTGAAGGGTGGTTTCACGATAGCTGAACTAGTTTGGCGCCGTAACAGACAACACATTTTTCGGTCATATTTTTAGTAGCAATGGTAGTCACTCGAATTTTTTTGCTTCAATCTACACACAGAGTTACGTGTTATAACGCTTTTCAAGGATTTATCACTCTACTTTTCCATTTTAATGTATAAATGGTCGAAAATGTGTTGTCTTTTACGCTGGCTTTTTACCGCGTAACAGACAGCACATGTTCGGAATTTACATAATATTAATCGAGGAGTAGAGCAAAAAATCTTTAGAAAACGTTATAATACGTAATCCTTTGAAGATTAATGCGAAAAAATTCGAGTGATTATCATTACTTCTAAAAATATGACCGAAAAATTTGTTGTCTGTTACGGCGACAAAACTATCCCAGTTATCAGGAAACCACCCTGAAACAATGGTGCGCGTCACATTCCAATCCTCACTGGAAATGTTTATTTTAAAGATTGAGATTGGAAATCAATATGTTTTTAGCGATGTCACCAAAGACTAGGGAAGATTTGGATGTCGTGAACAAAGTCCGTATTAAAATCATTAAGCTTACCCAAATCAATGAGATCATGTTCAAAGGGATCCTCGCGATCGGGAAGAGGCCCTGGGTGACGTGATTCGTACTGCAGCACAGCCTTTACTTTAACTTCCTCTTCCAAATAGGCCATTATCGTCTCAAACATTTCAACTGGATGACTTGGACACATGTACGTTACAAGACTCAAAGTCGGTCTCTCATCGGTGGCTGGCATGGTTGGTTTTTTTCGTTTACCACTCCACTTCCTAAAAGTTTTTCTGCCAAAATAATGAAGCGCACGTTAGATATAAGCATACAAATATATTGAGCGCTTCGTTTTTTGTAAAAAACAAAAGTAATTATTTTTTTTTAAGCCAGAGTCCACGCCAAACAAGTTAACGCACTTTCAAACTGCAATAGAAGATCCGCCATCTTGATTCTTCCATTTATTTTACAAGTAAAAGTGGCTTCGAGCGATCTGTCGCAGTCTAGGGGTGCGTAAACTTACTTGGCGTGGACTCTATATGGGTTATAGAATTACATACTTATTGCCAGATCTACAGTTAAAAAAATATACATAAATAAAGCAAAACCTCCCGACATTTTTTTGGTTTTAAATACATGCATATAAAAGCTGCCTTTACATCACTCTCTGGCGCTTTGCGATGCCAAACCGCCATAGATCCCTATCCACTCATGGCCACTAGCCATAGCAGCTATAGTAGCTATAGTATAGGTATGTAGTATAGTATAGGAGCTGTAGTATTCCCCATTCCTTGCTCAAGCCCGTATCTCCACCCTTTCTTGTTTGCTCATTCCACTCAGAAAAATTTTCAAACATACATATCAATCATCATTGCGAAGCTGGGACTCAGCTGAAACTTGAGGGATGGGGGAGCAGTAGACTTTAAATTAACTTCAAGAAGTAAGATAATTCTTATTTTTATTCATTGGACAAAATGTAGAGGTCTATTCTAGAAAATTTTAAAATTAATGTTTTGTTCTAGAATAAACAGAGAAAAATGCTGATTGAACCAACTAGATCATTCCACAGAAGCGCCAAAAAATAGAATTGGAAACACATTATCGTTCTAACTTTAAAGATGTGTAATTTACACAAAGAGATACTTTCCAATTTCGATTATAATGGTTTCAGTGATGGACAGTTTTTAGATCGAAACTTGAAGAAGGAGGGATGCTGTCAGAGAAAAGCGTAGTAATAAAGCATATGAAAGCACTAAAATATGTAAGTATCATAGTTAATCATAACATACAAATTCTCAAATGAAAACGTAAAAGTTACTGATTGAGAACACAACTTGCTGGGGATAGTGAGATTTAAAAAAAGATACTCTAAATTTTAGTTTAATTTTAAGCTATCGCTGCAAACTAATTGATCGAGCTGCGATTACGGCTTCTCATGCGCTAACTTTGATCCGGCCCTGATACCGAAAACTGCAGAGAAATTAAACATTTTCAAAATTAATACCCACGTGAGAAGTTGACGTCGATAGAGTAGTTTACATACAGCTAGTGAATTCAAAATTTCCCCTTACTTAAAAAAAAACCATCATTAATTATTTTCAGTATTGCAATTCAGGCTAAGGAATCAGTTTTGCTCCTACTTCAATGCTTAAACTTTTAACACTCATAATTCTAAAACTCAGGAAGAAACTGAACACAATGTCGACATTCTTTTCATTTCAAGGAGAGAACTAAGAGAATTTCCTATCATATTTCCATGGTGCGGCTTTTGAATACCTCGCTATGGTAATAAATCAGCGATCCATGATTTGCTCCTCCCCATCATCCTCTCTGTCCCTCCCTTATTACTCCCTCTCTTTCTCATATTTATATACTGATATAAACTTTTTGGTGTTAAAGGGGACTCCAACTGTATTATCCCTTCACTGAATGCGCTACACATAATCAGTCATACGGAGAAGATGCCTTTCAAGCCAGTGTAATGAGAACCACCGGGACTTTGTCATTCTGATTAATAATTTACCTTGAAGAAACGAAGAGCTTCCGTTTTTCATTTCTTCTTGGTGTCCTTTGTTTAAGCCTCATGTGTGGATGTCAGATTCTGTAACCACGCAGTTTTAAAAAATGTATCTGATAAGTGAAGAGCTAATAAAATAACGTGAACGGATAATTTCTCTGTGATCGCCTCATTGGTACTATACAATAATTAAAAATACGGTTGTGAAAAACAAGATTTGAGGGAACGAGAGAGGAATTGAGGGGGAGGAGCTACTTTGGGGGAATATCGAGTATGTTAACCTCTATACCCAGATATTTTCTCTGACTTCAGTGAGTAAAATGTATTAGTCGCTAAATTTTACCTTACTGCATTTTAATCATCTTAAAATGAGGGGCTTGGAGGACAATGCACATAAGCGCAGTTTTTGTATTTGCGAGAAAAACGTGTTTGAAGTTGCAAAAATACGTGGATTCTTAAAGAAAGTTTAAACTGACATTTCGATGGTAAAAAATTTGAATTTGGGAGCAAAATCACAGAATCTATGCATTAAGACTAGTTTTACTTGAAATCATTAATATCTCAATTTTTTTCAAGACCTGCACTTATGCACCTTGTCCTCCAAGCCTCTCGAATAAGCTCCAATACAGCACATAAAGTCTCAATTCCACTTTATTTATCTTTACAATCGAAGATTCTGCGAAGTCAGAATTTTCTCATTCTCATCTGTTAGCGCATGTTAATTTTCCCGTTCACTTGGCCTACCTATTCTTGTATTTTTCGGCTAGCTCACTTGCTCAAGTAGCTGAAGCAAAAGAAAAGAAACTTTCAAAGGTTTGGAAAGCTATGCAAATTTTTTGAATGAGGACCCCCAGAGAACAATGAGTTACACATGCAGTATCATAGGAAAAACCATGCTGTCGTGCAACTACCATAAATTAACCGCGTACCTACATAGCATTGAAATAACGATATTTTTTCATTGCCAAAAAGCGAAGAAGGAAATGAGAGGTGATAATTTTAAAATTGCACTGTAAAAAATAAAGTAAGATTTTACCAACCGATTTTCCTTGTAGCTGCCGAGATTTGTGAGAACTTTAGAGAGGTTCCTGTAGATCCTTTTAAATTGGAGTAAAAATTAAAGGGTTGAAAAGACAAGGTGAAACTGAGGAACGCGCAGATTACGGGAAGAAGCAACTACCTTTAACACAGAATAATGAAATATACTAACGGAAAAAATGCGCGGAACAGAAAAAATCTAACAATAACCACCGGTCAAGCGACTGCCTGTGTGAAACACTCTGAAATGTCACCCAAGTTATCTGCGCACAAGGAGCTGATTCTATTGAGAGTCAGAAGTATCCAAAAAACAGACCGTCGGGCATAATTTTGCGCCTTTTTTGGAAATTAATTAAACAAATTAAAGATACAATCAAGTGAGATTGATCTGTTTTAATATCGATCAAAGATCATTCAAGTCGGACGGTTGAAAAATCAGTTTTTATTCCTTTAAATAAATTCATAGGCACCATTCTCAGGTTGCTGCCATTGATCCACTGTGCGGCCGTTAATTTCACCAACCCAATCACGCAGGCTTATCAAGGTAAAGTCCACTAGGTTTAAAATAAGCCCGCAGAGTGAGTTTCCATGTATGATAAGACTTTGCCGTACGTTCCAGGCCTGATGCTGTTTTGCCGGCCACTCACATTATTTCAAGGAAGTTGCCTAATCATCGGAAAAATGTTGATATTTATTTCGTCATGACGATAGGCAATCAAAGAAAATCCGACTCGAAACTGGGAAGAAAGAATCGATTTAATTATATTCAAAGCTGATTTTCCTGGTTTCTTCAACCAAGAAAAATGGCCGATTCAACCATGGTGTTTCAACCTTGATCGTGCGGTGGTTTCTCGGACGTAAGAGGGTCTCAACGGAGTATTTTGAAAGTCAGTGGGATAGTTTTTCCACTCTTTTCAGAAGCTGAAATTTATTTTAAACATCAAGTTCGGTGTTCAGGAGCTTATGGCTCAAGCACAAAATTCACTTTTGGGTTATTAAAAAATTTTTAAAACATTATTTAGGCTCCTTCAGGAAGCTGAAGAGAGGGCGGGACCTTAAAGAAGAGCAAAACCTCGGATCGTAATCAGAATTAAAAAGTGAAGATAACGGTCATCGTTTTTTCAACGATGGGTGAGACTACCCAAACCATCGAAACATTAACCCTTCCGTGAAATTATAGATCAAAAGGTTTATTACATAGCCAAAGACTGAGAACTGTAGGAATTGGACTGTAATCACTTGCATGAAACAAAAATTACAACGTTTGATTTTACGTATTCATCATCTGCTCAGGTATTATTTTTTTAACAGATTGTGAGTCTCTCTTACTTTTTTTTAAAAAAATTCAAAAGTCTTTACGTGTAAAATAAAATGCATGACTCTAAAGAATGAGCAATGCCAAATTGATAGCGTTTTATAATTTCAGGCTTAATGTTACCCGATGTCTCCAAGGATAATCCAAGTGAATTTTTGGAATGACGAAATTAATTTCTCAAATATCTTGCGGGTCATTTGCTGAAATTTTCATGAAAATAATTTTCGAGGCAACTTGGCGTAAGGGAAATTAATTTTACATTTTAAATTCTGAATACTGCAGAAAGTTACACTGAATTTTCCTCGGATAGAAAATATTGAGAGGCTCGGAGACAAGACGCACAAGTGCAGTTTTTGCTATTTCGAGAAATACGTGATAGAATTTTCGAAATTGAATGGATCCTTATGGCGGAAAGAAAGTTCAAACTGACTTTTTGACGCTTAAAAATTGGAATTTGGGAGCGGATTTTTTACAGAATACGCATTAAAACTAGTTTTACTTGAAATCATTAATATCTTAATTTTTTTTTAAAAATTTCACTAATGTTGCTCTCCAAGTCCCTCATCTAAACATTCACACTATCAAGAAACATTCCTTTTCATGTTCCCCACCATTCCCTTTAATTTTTATCGCGTGCTTGTAATGCTCATGAAAACTATTTAGCGTAGGTATCTAGCTAAACCTGGCATCAATGTAATTTCTGATCATGCTGCTCATTTTCTCGCTAGATGAGACGCGACGTGAATCAGTTTCAAAGCTAACAGATAACCAGCCCGGTGGCATCACACAGCCTCTAACACGGCCGGGTAACAAGTACTTGTACGTGCCCGCAAATCCAAGCAACGTAAACACCACGTTCGTAAGTCCGTTGTTTTCGATCAGTGTTTAATCAGTTTTGTGAGAGGGTGAATTGAATTTCGGGCGTGGTCGACGAACCTAACGTGAAAATTCATAACAAGATTTTCCAAAATAAAGTGAAATTCGAGCCGATGGATAAATGGACGGTCGAATGAAAAGCCGGGATTTGGTTGAATAGTTTTTATTAACTCGACCTTGTGAATGATTGACGTGGAGTCTCTTCGATAAGCAAAACTTCCAAGTAGGTAGTTAGAAGATAAACATGATTTTGAGGTTAATTTCTAGATGGTACTTGAGAACAATATTGAGAGTGGATCGGACTCAATGTAAAGGACCCATCCTGCTATAAATAAGGCACTGGCAATATAATGACAAAACATTTGTGGCAATAAAACATTTTCCCTGCATGTGGACAAAAATTGCAATGATTCTAAGATATTACGAGCTAATTCATAAGTGAAAATTTATATATGATGATTGGCGAATACATGTTGATTATCTGTAAGACAGCCGTGTGATATATACCGGCGTAAAATTGCCTCACCGCAGAGGATCATGCTAAAATAGGTATAAGTTAATATTTTTTCCTCTAACTATAAAGTTTATCCCGAAAGTGCACTTAGCCAGATTCAATGCCCCTCCAAATTTATCAAGGGCTCGGTTTTTCCTGAATTTTGGCTTAGGTTATGTGGTAAAACTCAAAAAAATTGACAATCCGCCGTAAAGTTTTCTTCGTTGAATTTATTTCCGGCCTTATAAATATCAAAATTTTAGGTTAAAAGCCAATTTGGGTTTTTTTACATATATCTCTCGCGGGGAAAAATTTTTTTAAACAGAAAACTACTCAACAGCAATTCTTTAAAACTGCCGTGATTTTTCTTCTCTGTGCGAAGAAAATTCTGCATAAACTTCCAACTCCAAAGAATGATGTCAATTTGTTCTCCTTTAAAAAAATAACTTACAGGCGGAGATTTTCGGACACCGCAAACGAGATATGTGATTGCCGACTTACACCGTCGATTTCCATTATTATTATTTTTTTTTTAAAAAAAAAATTATGTTTGTTTTAATTTTAATTTTAGGGTTGTGAATGGCTTCATTCAATGCGAACGTGTTTTTCTTCATGTTCGCATGCGGGAAAAAAGTGTCTGCTTCAGAGCCGAATTTACTGCGATGGGGCACCCTCAAAGACGACGGGATTTTCGAGCGCGAGCGAAGAGCCAAGGCCCTCTCACGCCATGGACTTGGCTTCGGGTTTGCACCCCTTGACTACTCCTCCACGTACGGATCGACCACGTCCCTTAACGCTCTCTCATTACACGGAGCAGGTAAATATTGCAGCATTAACAAGTGCCTAAATCTGTAAAAAGAAACTCTTGGGGCTTTTTTTTTTTTGGGGGGGGGGGGGTTCGTATCCAACATGTGATGTCTAAATATATACAGTTGTGGACGCCATTATTTAGTGTGAGTTACTTCAAGAACCGAGGCGTTGTATACTTTTTGTTTGTTTATTTAACTATTAAAGCTTTTCGACCGGTTGGTCATCATCAGAGTTTCAATACACATCACAATTTAATACAATCACATCTAATAAAGTTTTCAATAATTCAACAACACTAACAATATCAACAACGTTCACATTATCAATGGTAGCAAGACACTTAGTCCAATTTTTTTTACCCGATACCTAGTTTGGCCAACAAATTTAATCCAAGATATACTTTGACAGCGTTGCTCACGTAGTCCTTTAAGCACCGCTACTTATAAAGACAAACGGAGCCAAAACAACATGGAAATAGAGTGAAAGAAAGGACTCGCTTTGATGACGGCGCAGAGATACAACTATTCGTGCTTGATGGATGTCCGTGTTTTAACTGCAAAATTGAAGGCGCAATGCTCCGCTCTATGCTGTCAAAGAGGTGTCACTTAGATTCAGGAGAACAGGTAAAAAACAAGGCCCGATTACATCTCTAATCTTCGGCTATTTTGCTAACGTAGCTCTTGAAGCACCCCTACTAATAAGACAAATGGAACCAACACAACATGGAAATTGAGCAAGGAAAAGGACACGCGCTCATGACGGCGCAGGGATACAACTATTCGTGCATGATGGATGTCCTTGTTGAATCTGAAAAATTGAAGGCGCTATGGCATGAGGTGTGAGCTTGCGATGTCTCGCTCTAGACTGCCAATGAATTGCTTTGACTCGGGAGAAAAGTTTCAAAAAACCAAACCCAAAAACGTTTTTCCTGTCCTCGGCTGTGTTGATATTTGATTTTTTCATTTTTTTCAATTTGATGTCTTTTTTAAGATGTATTTTTAGTTCTACGCACCTAAACAAAATTGAGTAAAGTATCTGGCCATATATATATGTCTGGTAATAGATAATGTGATATTACATAATGTGAACGTTGTTGATATTGTTAGTGTTGTTGAATTATTGAAAACTTTAATAGATATGATTGTATTTAATTGTGATATGTAAGGAAACTCTGATAATGACCAACCGGTCGAAAAGCTTTAATAGTTAAGTAAACAAACAAAAAGTATATGTACAACGCCTTGGTTTTTGAAGTAACTCACGATATCTAAATAGGTTTGCTATACTATAATCCTGGAGTCTGAATTCCACACCCCGCCGAGCCAATGCGGGAGAGAGGAGCAGAACTGGAACTTAAGAAACGATTTTAAAGGCTGAATTTTTTTTTTCTTTCTTTAAAAAACTAATTTGCTGGATTGTTTTCTCAAGGAAGAAAAGATTTGTCGCTGTATCTTCTCTTATGTCTAAAGTTCCCTTTTTTACTTTCAACTATGGAGATGAAAAAAGTGATTGAAAGAAAAATAGAGCGCAAATTCAGGATAAGTATTGTCACATGCAGTGCATAATCTTTTTGAAGACTTCAACACGACGTAGAAAAAACAACCATGCGGTGATACAATTATAACAGCAACATGACAACCATACAACAAGCGCGCAAGATATGAAACTTCAGTTGGAAAATTAAATACATTTTTAAAGGAGTAATTGCAAACCGTTAGTTCAACTTTTTTAGTATGTAAGGGGGTTGAAATGCGTATTTCGATGATGACTGAAGTGCGAAACGCTTTATTCAGAGTGTGTCGATAAAAGGAGGAGTTGCGTTTTGGGCCTTTTCCGGCCCCACCTGGATTTTGCTAAATGTTTCATATTTTCAAAGTACTAGTCTTAGGTAGACTCTGTGTTAAATATTAGACCGAACGGAGCCCATGCAAGGACGCAGCAGCGCCTCAAACCCAAAATCCTGGAATCGAAAAACAATTATTTTCGTCGACTTTTTCGACTGTTATCACTCTTCCAGCACATGATTCTTATGTATTTTTTTGCGTACTTTTCGTTTCTGGCCTTTTTAAAGGCCTCCGATAAATTTTAAGGGGCCTTATGGCCCATTGTTGCCATTTTTGGCCCATTTTTAGGGGTTTTTTCCATTTAACACATTCAAAACTCAATTTAATCCAAAAACTGTGTACATTTTTGAAAAGTACGTAAAAAAATGAATAAAAAATGTTCAGTAAAATTTTTTCCTATGTTGCCAAATTTCCGAGAAAATTGGTCCCAAAGTGTCAAAAACGGCAAAAAATCGATAAATCGCCGCGTCTAAGGTTCAAGAAAGTGGAGTACATTTTTCATACTGTACCAGATAACAGCTCTTATCCATCCATACAACATACTAAAATATCATAGTTGTACCTGGATTCCCACGATGTGAAAATTGACCGAGATGTCGATTTTAGCGGCCTTTTTATACTTGAAGGCAGCTCTTTTGAATGTTTTTCGACCTTAGTCACCCTCTATGGGTGTGTACTATATGTATTTTTCTACGTACTTTTCATATCTGGCCATAAAAATGGCTTCCTGTGAATTTTAAAAGGCCTAACGGTCCATTGTTGCCAATTTTCACCAATTTTTAGGGGTTTTTTCAAGTTTACGTGTGTGAAACTTAATTTAATCTAGAAACCGTGTACAATTTCGGAAAGAACGTAAAAAAATACATAGAAATGTGATTTGTACCTTTTCCCTACGTTGCCAAATTTTCGAGAAAAATCGTCCTGAAGCGTCAAAAATGCCAAAAATTGGATTAATCATCACGTCGGAGGTTCCAGGAAGTGAATTTCAAGTTTTTTTTCACTACAAATAACGTATCGAAAATGGAAAATTGCAATGCATCTCAAGGAACATGTAATGGCGCAGATGAACGTGACAAAACGGGCCCTCAAGGTGCTTTTACTTTATCCTTCACTCCAGTTCACCTCTTTATTCCTGTAACCTCGAGATAATCCTTGGTTCTCAAGATGCTTGCTACAGGCCAAATATACCGAAGAACAGAAAATGCGTGGAGAAAGTGTCCCACGATCCACATGAATGTCATAATTCACTTCCTGGAACCTCCGACGTGATGATTAATCCAATTTTTGGCATTTTTGACGCTTCAGGACGATTTTTCTCGAAAATTTGGCAACGTAGGGAAAAGGTACAAATCACATTTCTATGTATTTTTTTACGTTCTTTCCGAAATTGTACACGGTTTCTAGATTAAATTAAGTTTCACACACGTAAACTTGAAAAAACCCCTAAAAATTGGTGAAAATTGGCAACAATGGACCGTTAGGCCTTTTAAAACTCACAGGAAGCCATTTTTATGGCCAGATATGAAAAGTACGTAGAAAAATACATATAGTACACACCCATAGAGGGTGACTAAGGTCGAAAAACATTCAAAAGAGCTGCCTTCAAGTATAAAAAGGCCGCTAAAATCGACATCTCGGTCAATTTTCACATCGTGGGAATCCAGGTACAACTATGATATTTTAGTATGTTGTATGGATGGATAAGAGCTGTTATCTGGTACAGTATGAAAAATGTACTCCACTTTCTTGAACCTTAGACGCGGCGATTTATCGATTTTTTGCCGTTTTTGACACTTTGGGACCAATTTTCTCGGAAATTTGGCAACATAGGAAAAAATTTTACTGAACTTTTTTATTCATTTTTTTACGTACTTTTCAAAAATATACACAGTTTTTGGATTAAATTGAGTTTTGAATGTGTTAAATGGAAAAAAACCCCAAAAATGGGCCAAAAATGGCAACAATGGGCCATAAGGCCCCTTAAAATTTATCGGAGGCCTTTAAAAAGGCCAGAAACGAAAAGTACGCAAAAAAATACATAAGAATCATGAGCTGGAAGAGTGATAACAGTCGAAAAAGTCGACGAAAATAATTGTTTTTCGATTCCAGGATTTTGGGTTTGAGGCGCTGCTGCGCCCTTGCATGGGCTCCGTTCGGTCTAATATTTGGCACAGAGTCTACCTAAGACTAGTACTTTGAAAATATGAAACATTTAGCAAAATCCAGGTGGGGCCGGAAATGGCCCAAAACGCAACTCCTCCTTTGCAACTTTTGTTATGGAAATTAAACTACAGCTCTCTGTGAATTTTTTTGACTCTTTAAAAAACAATTACACTAAATTGCAGGGAATCATTTTCATTAAATTCCCGAAAAAAATAAAACCTAATGAAGATACTCAAACCGAAGATTTTTTTTTGGTAAAGATTTTTAAGATAATCATTTTTCACATTTTCCATCAATATGAGATCACGGGATTATCGGTGCCTTGTAAAGTGCATTTTTTTAATGCTGAATTTTGCAACACCGCATAAACGTTTCATTGGTGGAAATAAATCGGACTACATTACTTTGTGCATTCAGTGCTATTTTGAAACTTACTTGTGTATGGTACAAATATTTCTTATTCTATCACTCTTTTCAGACACATCTCCACACGTGATGATAACTTCACGGTGTGTATCTCCTATCCCACGGCTGAAATCTCAAAGAAAACCGAAACGATACAAGAAGCCACGCTGTTACAGATGCAATCGACCAGGACACTTTGCTTTCCACTGCCGAACGAGATATTGACAAAACAGCAAGCACAGCACTGATTCTTGAAGTGGAAACCTAGGGTGGTATAAATTATTTTTGAAATCACACTGAGTTTGAATGACGCGAAGATAGGCATTCTTCTTACGACGAGAACAATGTGGGATAATATCTGTCAGATGGTATTACGTGGATGCCCTTGCAAACCCCCCCCCCCCCNCCCCCCCCCCCCAGAGCTTACAGAAGTGAGTGTTTTAAGGGATACTTTTTGCCTCAGGGGAGTCCCATATGATTTGAATTTTATGAATGTCGATTGAAAGCTGATTGTACCACCAGCCCGAAAAATTAACAACCTTTGACGCTTCGAAAAATTTCAGGGAACAGTCCAATGAACGGTCTTTTTTTTATTTGATCTCTATGTTGTCTGTTTTCTGTTGCCCCTTCAAAAATTAATACACACGAACATAGCAAAATTTTTGAGCTTTGACAGATTTTAAGATACAACCGACCACCTCTGATTTCCGTTCTGAAGATTTTTCTTGTGAGTCTTCATTTTTGCGGTGGCATCTCTCCTTCATCCTTAGCACGAAACTGCGCTAGGTACTCTTCTTTTTCTCTCTTTTTTTTTTCGAATTCCTCAAAGGAGGTATGATCGATCATTTTCGACACAGTCATTCATTGCATTTATAAACCTCCTCTCAAATCAAATGGGCTTCTCTTGACTGCAGGAGATCTTCAGGGGTATTGTATTGAACTTCACAAGTTTTTAATTATTCACAAACTGTCACGCACACTCATAGGCTAAGAGACCCTTTTACGAACCCATAAACTCAGTAGATCTAGAGGTTTTGACTTTATGCGATCAGTTAAGACAGTTCGTCGTTACTTACGCAGCGTATAATCAAAACTTTTTGTTTCATTTACCAAATTAAAAAGATTGACTTTCACCTGTTGTTAAAAAGTGTAACTTTTTTAAGGTATAGTGAATTGCAACTTCTGCACTTTAAAATATTTTTATGATTTAATTAGCTTTTTAATGACGACGGATCTATTGTTGAAAATTTTAAAAACTCCGAACTGAGATCCTATCGGCAAAATAGATAGTAAAATAAAATCTCACACCTGGAGTACGGTGATGCTTCTCCGCTGCATCTTCTTGCCTTTATCGATTCTGCAAGCTTGGGTTACAATGCCTCCAGGGCATATGAATGAATTTTACCCTCATATTCTAACCCTATTTTGCCGATGAAAAGGAAGAGAGAAATTACGATAAAAAGAAATGAAATTAGTGACACTCCGCAAGAGGGCAATAAACGTAGTGCATTAAAGAGGATTGAGCTTCGAGAAGATTGAAATAAAAATCTGGAAGAGCGAGATGCATACTTCCCACTTTTCTTTGAGATTTGAGACAGTATGATGACATTAGGGTTGCATATTCCGTGTCGAAACATGTCTACTTATGTATATTCGTCTATCTATGATTAAAAGATGAAGCATTTCCTAAACAACGTTTGAACTTTCTACTTTATACAAGATTTAACTGAAAGATTGTAACCACAGTATTATTGTATTATTTGTTTTTTACATTTTTAAGTATTTAAAGACGAATCGACCATCTATAATGCGGGATTAAATATATCATGTACTTACGTGAGGAATAATTAATTATAATTACTATCCAACAAGGATGTTGGTAGGAGTATTTTTCAAAGCTACGGGGGAAAAATCAATGATCATGATTTCCAAAATTACGCAAATTAATTGTTGGATGGAGGCTTTGAAAATTTTTAAAAGTTACTTCTTTTATTTGAAGACAACAATATCACTCGCTGATGTGATTTTAAATGAGAAGATTTTGTGTTATGGATACTTTCTCAGTATTATATTGTATTAACTCTAATATTGGTATATTTAGTTTTATTGCTATTTTCTAATTTTTACAGCGTGTATTTGTTTTCATGAAACCCTGTCGAAGTTTAAAAATAATCTTCACTCATTTATGCAAAAGAAATGTGTCCATGTGTAGAGTTCTCACTACAAATAGACCTCCTATGCACGCAAATGTCTATATAAATTCTGCACATGCGGAATCGGTTATTTTTCTGTACCTATAGCTTACTTTTTTTGTCAAGAAAGAAAAGAAAATACTTTCTTTTTCAACTAAAATGCATTTATAAACCTTACAACTATTGTTCGCATCCCGGTATATTTATGATTTCATCATTGCGGCTTTCAAATGATGCAATTATTTTATGTACATACATTTACCATTTTTTAGACTGAAATAAAGATTCTTGAATGCCTTTACCTATAGAATATGAGTTTTTTAATACTGCATAAATTAACAGCACAGCAAAGGAAAGGGTCCCTCCCAAAATACGTATGCGCATGACGCTCAATGAGGAAGAAACGCAAGGAGAGCGTTTCGCCAATTTTTTTTTTTTTTTTTTTACGTGTTAAGAGATGGGGGCCCACGTCATAAAAGCGTTCGGAAGGGGGAGGGGATCGGAAAATTCGAAATTTAGCATTACGCATTTTTTACTAAATGAGTTACTAATTCAACAGTAAGATTAGCTTTTCAACCACCACTATATTGTTATCGAACCTCAGAAATTAGATAGAATCTAATCACTTTCAATGCAACTATCCTAACCAGATAACGGTATTTATACACAAAGAAACAAAATGGTTGATACTATGTGCGATATCACGCGCCATTGGTTCCAAAAACTTTTAATTTAGTTGTTCACAATATATAAAATAAATTGTGTAATAATTTTTTCATGACGCAGCAGGGAGGCATTTGTCGTAAGGTGAGAAAAGCAAAATTAAATCACTCTACGACAGCTCGGATGGGTAAACTCAAGTAGCGTGGCGTGCTTTGCAATGAATCGTTACATCTGCCATTTAGACCTATGGAAAAGGATCGATGGACAGTATAATTGCAACGAACACTTTGATAATCGATTCTTTACCATAGTTTCAAATGGGGAAATATCGAAAATCGATCATTCAAGCCTCGCCACTGGATAAGTCTGTACCATTTACCGTCAAGAACTCCCTATTTCCCATAATTGATCCTTTGGCATCAGTTCAACGTTAAGAGACCAAAAGAACAGGGGTTGAATCAGAAATTTCCATAAAACAAAACACGAATGAGTTGCTTGCTTTGAAATCGTGTATTTTTGGTTATTTTTAATGAGAATAAAGCATATTTTATATGAAATTTAAACTTGAATGAATTTAAGATGCTTTCAAGGGCCACAACCTAGAATCATTGCCCTAGTTTGAGAGCTTTCGAACTTAGTAGTAGCCACCAGAGTTCCCATTGCCAGTACCAGCAGCGGCTAAAATCAGAATCAATGAACTTAGGATTAGAATAATCAGGCAGATGAAAGGCGAAAGGCGGCTATAGTTTGATAATCGAAAGAGAACTTACAAATATATTTTCTGTCACAAATGAAAAGAATGCTCGCACGAAGCTTTTTAATGACTTTATATGACCGGCCAAGAGATGAGTGCAAAAGTTAAAAATTGAATTTTGATAGGAGAGAATCGAGGCTCGTTCTGCGGACAATTTGGCACCAAAAATACTCCAAAAGGTCGGACCAAGCCGGCTGTACGATAGGCTAAAAGTTTGAATTTTGCGAGAGAAAAAGCCATTTAAAATTCTATCCTCTCAAGTCAAGGTCACAAAGTTGCCGGATTTTAATACCAAAAACACCCTCCTCTGGTAAAAATTAACCAAAGTGCTCGCACCTTATTCATCACGCTATACATATAGGGAGCTTTCTGTCAAAATCTCAGAGTCTGATTTTTCCCCCGACTTGACAAAACCGCTCAATTGGCCAGTTTTCCTCTGTGAACTAAAGTTCTTTTCCCCAGGGACAGTCATACCTATGTTATCATGAAATTAGACCTTCACTTTAGCAGATGTAAGACCGAACATTCCGTAGCTTAGCAAAGCTTGTTGCCTACTTTGGGAATGAAGGCACTTAGTTTTTGAGTGCTAATTATACGGAATCAAAATACCCCTTCAAAAGAATCGCTCCTCCTCGCTGAGTATGCAACCTAACCCAAGAAGCAGTGATCGCGATAAATAGCGATTTTATCGGTTGATTATCGCGATTATATCGGTGACAATTTATCGCAATATTATCGAATGGAAAATTGCGATTTACGGCGATTAAATCGCTATGCATCGCAATTTTTGGTTCGATAAAATCGCGATCAATTTTCGTCAATAAAATCGAGATTAAATCGCCATATATCGCGAATTTTATTTCGAAAATATCGCGATAAATTGCCGGGCAATGAAATCGCGATTATATTGTAACAAGATCGAGGATAGTCGCTCAGATGTTGACGATCCTAGCGATTTTATCACCGATTAAATCGCAATATATCGCGATTTTTCTGTTGAAAAATGCTACTTGGGAAATAGATAGTCTCACAATCCGAAATCCAATTGCCAGTGTCGCCTCGAAAGGGTCTGATCTCTTCTTAAATCAATATAACTCAGAACTGATTATTACGATCTTTATAGAGATTGTTATCCGTATCTTAGGTAACAGCCACAGAGGATGATTTCGCGCATGATTCTGTGCGGCGGTTTTTGATGTTTCTTTCGTGAATGCATTCTAAAAATGTTCCACTGTTCTTCCATCAATTAGATGTGCATGTAAAAATTATTTTTATCAATTCAAAGTTGCCAAGCAACTATAAGAAAGAAGAAAGTTCTTAAGTAAAAGGTAAAAATTCTTACCAGAACTGCCGGCCGCCGCAAATAATCTGTTCGGTCCACCGAAATTGAAGGAGGATCCCTTAGATGAAGACTGGGTACCTATAGTTTAAAATAAAACTTTGATAAGCCGCTCTTATTTTTACACATCCAATCTAATAATGAATGAGCCCAATCTAAGAGGAATGTTCTTCATACCACCACCCCCCTCCCCCTCCCCCCAACAAGGTCTAGAGTACGTGAAATAATTGCGGAGCAATAATGGACCACTAGACATACATACATAAAGTCGCGATTATAGCGCCGCCTCGCGCTCTGCGACGCCCAATCGCCATTGCCCCCTATCCTCCCAGAGATCATCAGGCAATTGGCACCTTCTGATCTCCTCCTCCACCCCTTGTCGCCAACCTTTCACAGGACGTCCACGCCGTCGCCTTCCGGGAGGAACCCAATCGAAGACCTGCTTGGGCAACCGATCATCTGCCATCCTTCGCACATGTCCAT